TATTGTAACTGTAATTCTTACTTGATAACTGTTTTGTTATATGTAATTTTACTATGTTAAAGTTAAAGCCTTTCTTTTTTGTTTAAACAGAAAAAGGGGAAATGATGTGGGAGTGATTTCTTATTAATAAAGAAACTGCCTAGGCCCCTTGATAAGGCCCACCCTTAGGTGGGTGGAGAAAAGAGGAGAATTCTGGGAGAAGGAGGCTTGGTGGAAGAGTCGCCATGATGCTCCCACTCCAGACAGCCACAGGTTAAGATCCTCCCTGGTAAGCCAGCTCATGGGCTACACAGAATATTAGAAATGGGTTAGAACAATATGAAAGAGCTAGCCAATAAGAAACTGGACCTAGCCGGGCCAGGCAGTGTTTGAAAGAATACAGTTTCTGTGTAATTATTTTGGGCATAAGCTAGCCATGCGGGCGGCCGGGTGCCGGGGACGCAGCCCTGCCGCTCCTAATTTCAACACTAAATGAGTCAAACAGAAAGCACAAGCCATTACAGAGTCAACTAAAAGCACTGACAAGCAGAGACTTTGCTCTATGCAATACCTACTTTTGGGGAGATCTGTTGTCAACTTCAGCCTTCAGTCGTAAATTCTCCCTCAGCAGGCCACCATTTTCCAACTTCAATTTTTTATTTGCCTGAAAGAAGAGTTAAAAATAATTAAACATAAGCTAACACAAAAGTACCTTGTAAAAATGATGACATGAGTCATCTGTATTCTTACAGCAATATCAGCAAACTGAATACCAGACACAGTCCTCAGAAACGTAAAATCACCAGTGGGAATAACTTGAAACTGTGAATACAACTAGGTATTTAAAATCTACATTCCCCTAGCACTTTCTAAATCCTATGCTCAGGGAAATGAAGTTGTGTTAGCTAGCTCAAAGCTACTAAGGGACCACACTAATGGTAAATATGTTTCTTTTATTTCATCTTACCATAATTGAATGCTCTAAACAAGACAAGATTGCATCATACACAAGTATTTACAAACTAATGCTAAAGAGTTAATTCTTAAACCGGGAGACTAGTTTCTTTGTTACTATTTAACACTTCTCTAGTGATAAATCTAACCCAAGTCATCTACTGACTTTCTTTCTTTAACAGGTCTTTCTTATTCTGTCTTTCAACTTCTGATATCCTTAAAATTTGGGCAATATTTCCTAGTAAATTCCACCAATTGTACCTTCACATACACATGGAAGAAAAAAAGTCCTTTAAGAATGACTTTTTTTTTTTCTTTGTTTAATACCGAAAAGTTACTAAAATCATGCAGTAGCTCATCTGGAATGCATAGGCCGACACAAAAGAAAAGAGGGAAGCCAGAAGCTCAGTATCACAAGAGCTTAAAAAAGATAAAATAAAATAAATATTCATGCTCTTATGTTGTAAAATATTATTTTAAGATGTGTTACATTTGTTTATGCTGTGGAACATTTGTTTAATGATGCAAAGATACAATGCATTCTTTCATGTTGCATTTGTTTAACTCTGTGAAGCTGTGATTCTTTGCCTGTCTAAGCCACCTGATGGTCTAATAAAAGAGCTGAATGGCCAATAGCGAGGCAGGAGCAAGAATATGTGGGGATGCAGAGAGAATAAATAGAAGGAGAAGGAGGAATAGGAGAGGGGGACACCAGGGGTCAGGCACCCAGCCACACAGCCAGCCACAGATGGGATAATTTAAGATAAGAAAAGCTTGCTAGGGGCCGGAGAGATGGCTCAGAGGTTAAGAGCATTGCCTGCTCTTCCAAAGGTCCTGAGTTCAATTCCCAGCAACCACATGGTGGCTCACAACCATCTGTAATGGGGTCTGGTGCCCTCTTCTGGCCTGCAGGCATACACAGACAGAATAATGTATACATAATAAATAAATTAATTAAAAAAATATTTTAAAAAAAAAGCTTGCTAAAAACAAGCCAAAGTAAGGCCCTGCATTTAATACTAAGAATAAGCCTCCATGTGTGGATTATTTGGGAGATAGGTGGCGGGCTCCCGGGAAAGACCAAAGACCAGAAGAGTTAAATGAGTAAAACAAACAAACTACACTCTTAGACTTTAGAATTTTCTTAAACGCCACTTTATTTAAATTTTTTTTGTTACTGCATTTGTGTGCCACTGAGAAGATTAAATTCTCTAGGTTAGTCACCAAACTTACTAACCCAGCCAAGAAAATGCTATGGATAGAACATTTATGCTCATATTTAACAAACCATAGAATTACTGTCAGGGAAAAAGAAAGGGAAATCTAAGAATTTTGAAAACCTATAATAAAAACATTGGCCAGAGTTTCTGACTAACTTCCAGAATGTATTACTTACCTACTTTAATACAATTGTATCTCAACGGTAACAAGCAAGGGAGGTGGAGAATACTCACTTGAAGCCTATACCCCTACTCAAATGTTTGCTCACCTTCTTCAGGGATGCACACAAACCAGGATGCTGGGGGGTTAATTCTTTAAGTGACTGGTAGACACCACCATTATTACCCTCTGAAGATACAGGAAAGCCATTTACTTCCTCAAACACCAACAATGAATTAAGCTTTCAAGCACAGCACCGTAAAGGGAGGCACTTAGTGAATATTTTTTGATGATGACAAGAAGCTTAAATTAGAACTCACCTGACTTCCTTTCCTACCCCACCCCCTAATACTGGGATCATATTATGTTTCAAGATCCCTCACCAGCCCTGTGGCTTTTTAATACTTCTCGTTATAGGCTGGATAGCTCCTAACTATTAAAAGGACCTAAAGGTTATAAACAGTAGAGTTCTGCCTACTTACAGTACCTGGGGATATCAAAGCCTTTGATTATTATGCACTCTCCACTCTGACTGGGAGTGACAAGGTCTCGTTTCCAAACTCACGGATACAGGCAGCATCAGACGTCCATTTGCTCACACCAAGTCGTACTCTACTGAATCATTTTTTTCAGCATCTGACTGAGATTATTATTTGTACTTCATATTTGCATTTTGTCTCTGTAATCCACGTTTCTTACTCATTTGTAATCTATTACCTAATATTTTCACTGGGTACCCCAAACAGGCTTAGTGAATATACCAAATAATTCTGATAACACAGTAATTCTGACAACATGTTCATTTACTAATTCTGATAACATGTTATTAAAGTAATATGTTTATACACTAAGGCTGGCTGCAGAACACAGTTCACACTTCCCTCATAAAGACGCAGGGAGGTATGGATGCAGCTCTTCTTTCTGAAAGCCGTCTCTATATCCCTTTCACACTGGCCTTTTATGAATCGCACCACATTCGTGTTGTATATGGAGACTAATTTGAAAATGTTTTTCTACTACTTAACCTCGCTGAAGATATGAGAGCTAACATGCAGTGGTTCTTCTATAAAATACCATACGGAGTCCATCAACGATTTCGTGGCTCAGGACGCAATAATTCAGAACAAGAGCAGCATTTTAAAGAAATGGAGATAGGTTAAAGGCAGTTGTAGAGACGAGAGCTATAAAGTCACACTGTTGACCACTGCTGTACTGCAGGGCAGGTGAGCCTCAAGTCAAGCTAACGGCGCCATCTCTGTCTCCTTTCTAGACTTAACAAGTCCCACCCTCAACTAATGTCCTCTGTCCCCTGTTGAATGGACAGACAGACAGCCCATGTGCCCCGTTACTCTCCTGCAGAGTGGTCTAAAGCAGGTGCTCAGGGCTTTCTCTGGAGCTAGTCAGTAAACTAACTCCAGAGTGTACTGACATTCAGCTTTCAACATCAGAGAATGGTAGTGCTCAGAAAGACCTGGTGAAAACCTTCTCTTCAGCGGGTACAGTGAGACACAGCAGCAATCCTAACACCAGGAGTCTGAAGCAGCAGGGCGGTTAATGTGAAGCCAGCCTGGGCTACATAGCAAGTTCAGGCAATCTCTGACTAGTAAGATGTTGCCTCAAACAACAAGCCAATAAATGTTTCTTTGCTAAGCGTGAGATGGGATATGCTTGTTTCAATGCCCACAAAGCAGTCACTGCTGTAAGCTTAAAAACTTAAGGCAAACCACAAAGAGGGGGACAGAAACGCATCCTTTCAACGGATGCAACTCTTCCAGAAGCACGCGCATAGGCAAGCACTACAGGTCTCCAATTATAGTCACAAATGGAACCACCTGATACTTCTTGGCAGCGAAGGACAGCTAATGAGACGACGTGTTCCTAGGGCATGAACATCTCATCCAGGCCTTAGTCCTGCTCTACCACATTAGCTATGGTGAGTCAAGGATACGGCTATGTATACTTGTGAAAGTACGTAAACTATTGTAGAACTTCAAAAACAACCACCATAGATTTTCACATGACTACAACTTACCTCTTTTAACTTATCCACATCATCTTTTACTTTTTCATAGATTTCATTAGCTGTTCTGAGTTTTTTCTTCCATTCCACTACCGTTTCTGGGTCAGTTTTACTTTGATTATCTGCTGCTGGTTGTTTGTCTTCGTTTTGGCTGCCCTGCATCAAGGTTAAAGGGTCCAGAATAGTCTTGATCTGTGACTCCAAGCTCAGGTTTTTACTTTTAAGTTCTTCTACTTCTTTCTGCAAACAATCTATTTCATCCTGAAAGAGTACGGAATTCAACGATCAGATATGAACTAATGCTTGTATATGCTCAGCCAGAGCCAATGTGTTCTTGAATATTACACTCAAACTTTCATACATACATGGACTCTTTATATATCAGAACAGTTTTATAAGGAAACAGCTTAAATTCTCAAAGTATTTTGTCTCTCATAAAAATTGATACCAGCTACTTACATTTGAATTCAAAGACAGTTCTGGTTTTATGAATGTCAACTCTTTGATTTTGTTTAAAATATCATCAAGAAATTAAGAAAAAAACATGAATTTCAACAACAAAGTAGATTCCTATTCAGACGGAAAATTTGAGGCATCTTAATTGCTTTACAGAGAGAAATTTAAAAGCTATTGTTCAAAATAGCCAGAATTTTGTTTATATTTTTATTTCTATATCTAAAGTAGGAATGAAATCTTTCCACTTTGCATCCCAGATCAATCCCAGCAGTAGGTCTTCAACCGTTACTCAGAGTCATTCCAAATATCTGCTTCTCTGCTCTGGAACTGCTATTGCTCTTGAATGTGAGGGCAAACATTTGGGATAGATTCTTCCATGTAGTGCTGGGAGGCTCTGCCGGTCAGAGGTTGCAGACTACCACAGCCTGGCAGTTTTCTCTAAGCGTGGCAACAGAGAGGCCTCCCTCCCTCAGCAAGCTTCCTGCTCTTTATTATTCTTATCTGAAGACTCTTTTAGGCCCAGGACGTCTGACCTACCTCAATGGCTACCCTGAGACAGCTCCCTGCAAATGCTCTCCCCTGCTGTTCACAAGGCAATTAGGCAAATGCTCTAGTCATTTCCATAGGACCGTACTGCCACAGAGGAAGCCTTGTGATAGGAGCGTGCCACCTAAGGCAGACCAGGGTCTGTCCTATATATTCCTTCCACCATGGACTAAAGTTGAGCTGACTCACCTACGTCTGTCTCCTGGAGGGCTGTCCCTGTCCCTGGCATATCCACGTCATCCCAACCCTGTTCCCCATTTCTGCTCCCTCTACTCTCATGGACCAATGCAGCCACAGTGGAATACCATTATTCTTCTATAATGGGCATAAAATCTTAATTACATGAGGCTGTTAAAAGCGCTAACAGAAAATAAACTCCAAATGTCAGTGCCTGTCTGAATGCCCCTCCCAATCTCCTGCAGAAATGCAACTGCCATTGTGACAGCATTACAAGGGGGAACATCGAGGGGTGATTAGGTCATGAAGCCCTCATGAATGGGTTAAGGCTGATGTCTAGGTTATCAATGAATGGGTTCCTGACTTAAAAAGAGAAAGGGGAGAGGGAGAGAGAGAGAGCAGAGCGAGCGCTGGCACTCTTTCTTTTCTTATTCTTTTTCTTCATCATCATGTATGCCTTAACTTTAGCTTGTAGAAACATAAGCCAGTTTAAAGTGTTCTGATTTTAAAGAGAAAATACACTTAAGTCAATGAGCTCTCTAATTAATATCTATGACATTTATTAATATGGAAGAGTGCCTTTTAGATTTGTCCCAGTACTATTTACTAGTATATTATAATACATTTAACAGTATTCTAAAAGAAGTTGCATCCTTCCCCACCCCACTTTTTGTTAGTTTGTTTGGAGACAAGGTCTCTGTATCAGTGGTTCTGAGCCTGGGGTCGAGCAGCCCTTTCACAGGTGTCACATACCAGACATCCTGCATGCAAGATATTTACATAACAATTCATAACAGTAGCAAATTGCAGCCATGATGTAGCAATAAAATAATTTTATGGTTGGGGTCCCCACGACATGAGGAACTGTAAGAGAGGGCCACAGCATTAGGAAGGTTAAGAATCATCATTCTTTTAAGTCCTGGCTGTCCTGAACTCCCTCTGCAGACTAGGCAGATCTCGATATCGCAGAGATATGCCTGCCTCTGTCTCCCAAGAGCGGGAATTAAAGGGATGTGCTACCATACCCTGCATAAGAAACTGCAGTCTGTAAGTGAATACAGCAATGAGTAAACAAGCATGCATTTCAATATTCACAAATGGGGAAAATGTAGGGATGAACATTTATCCCATCACTTATGCTCCAGTGTATTAAAATGTTTGAGGCAGCTCAGATAGATTCCATGTGCAGAGTCTAATTTAAAGAAACCTTCCTATCATACTATATTTACACAGCAGTATAATTATTTGTTGGATGCCAATCAGCCATTCTGTCTTTCTTCAAATTGACCAAGCCTAAATTAGGGGATAAAGACCCTTCAGAGTCTTAAAAAATACCCAGCCCTCAAGAAAGACTAAATTTTTCAGCTTCACAAGCCCCCTCTGCTTGCAGAGGATTTTTCTTTGTGTATCTGCTGCACATGTCTTTCCTTACCCCCCACAAAAAGCCTTTCTCCAACTGCTAAGAAAAAGGGGGGATATGAAACTATGAAACTAGATCAAATATAATATATACACGCATATACATATATGTATATTATAAAATCTCCATTCCTCTTTTAATGAAGATAAAATGACAATAGATCTTTGTCTACTATCAAAAGTATATTGAATTCATTTGTAAAAAATTCCACCTTCATGGTAAACCAGTCTGCTCATTCACCTTTAGATGAAGATTAGAAATAACACTTCACACTGATGCTAACATATCAGTTTACTTAAGCATAACGTTTACATGTGGACCAGAATTCAGCATGTTTATAATTGTCAGTGATTCTACAGACAGTAACAAATTGATTGAGTTCCCTAAGTGGGCTTCTTTAACCACTCACTTCTTTATTTTTTTTTAAATGGAACAAATATAAAATAAACAGAAGAGGTACAAATTAGCAAACACACACACACACACACTTTTAAAAAGGAAGAGGCTGGAGAGAGAGCTGACTCAGCAGCTAAGAGGACTGCTGTTCTTCTCCAGGACCTGGGCTTGATTCCCAGCACACACCTGGCAGTCCCAGGTGATTCAACCCCGTCTCCTGGCCGCAGACAACTGGCACTCAAGTGGTGCATAGGAATACATGCAAACAAAACACATACATAAAATAAAAATCTCAAATTAAAAAATAATCTTAAAGAAGGAAAAGAAAAAAGGAAAATGTTTCCATTTCTTCCTATTCTATGAAATCTTAGTCATCCTCCTTTACTTTGATCGGTTTCCCTTAAGTCCACTGCTGGAGTCGCATTAAAGCAGTGTTAGATACCTCATACTCTTTGTGGAGGAGCTCGAGTCTCGTTCTCCGAAGGTGCTTCCTGACCATAGGGCTCAGCATAGGTTCACTTTCACCTGTTCCTCCTGAAAGGGAAAAACATCCTTATTTCTGTTTGGTTTGAGCAAAATGAAAATGAACCATTTTTTCATATTGCATTATATAATGTAGCGATATTTCATTTGTATCTTTAATAAAGCTTGTTTGATGATCAGCAAAGTGAAACAGACACACTGGCCAGCCTTACAGACCAGGCAGCAATGACACACACTTTTAATCCCAGTAGCCACACTAGCTTGCCACAGAAACCAGGCGCTAGTGGTGCATACCCTTAATCCCAGAACTAGAGAGGAAAATAAGACTGGAGGAGACAGTCCTGAGTCTCAGTCTCATTCTGAGGTTTCCTGGAGGTAGGGTCACCATTTTTGGACTAAGGTCGAGGTAAGAGACAGTGGCTGGCTGCTTTGGTTTTCTGGTCTTCAGATCGAACCCCAATATCTGTCTCTGAGTTTTTATTAATCCCAATTCAATTTAACTTCCCTGAAACAAAATTTGGATATGCAGACTGGAGACTCTGGTCCAGTCAAAGATAATGTGAAACTAATTAAGGTTAAAAAAAAATTAGTGCTGCATTAGGAGGGACAAGAGGAGTGTCAAACAGGAGCTAGGAAAGTAACACATTCAGGGAGACTACTGGTGATTTATTTTTACTTTAGGGGTAAATTCTTCCTCTTCTTTAGTAAACTGAAATGCGTTACACATTATCCAACAGGACCAGAGTCTCCAATCTGACTAAATTTTGTCTCACTTCTATACAGGCTACATACCACCACTCAGCCAACATTCCTAAAGCACACTTTGAGGCTCAAAACCTAAAGGTCACCTACCTCATCAAGACTTTCTCAGAGTTACTCACCTTTCTTCGAACACCCTGTAGCCCTTTATTTTCCCTTCTTAGCACCTGTGACTTTAAATCATTAATATTTCTGTCCACATGCAGTCTCTAACATAAGCTGCATTTGGCTTGGGGTCCTTTGTACTACATATACTATATAAAATTACCAATAAACCCAATATGATGTTGATCTGTAACAATGAAGACTTCATATCACTATTCCCCAAACAAACACTGTTTATAAATTGTCTTAAATCTACCTTACGCACATAAAAAATAAACCCTCACCAATAATCTCTTTGCAAGGATTTTCTGGAGTGATAGGAACTCTGCAAGCCGGACACTGGCTGTTATTCTTCAACCACAAGTCAATGCAAATGGAACAAAACACATGGTTGTTGGTGCATACAACAGGTTGACGGACCTTTGAAAAAAACAAACATTACTTTTAGTACAGAGCAACTTTTATAACTGGATTCCCAATGTGATATGTTTAGAGCAAACAAACTGTTCCTCAAGTACGCCGAGCAGGGAGGATAGAGAGAACACAGGATGGTAAAACATGCTTCTTTTGACCACACGGTTTCTCATATGACAGACACTAGCTGACAGCGCTGCTCATGGACACCAAGCAACTTCACTCTGAGATGCTTATTATGTATCGAACATTCATGGTCAAGAGAGAAAAGGCTTTCTGTTCATTAACTCTGGGACCTTATTCCTCAGCCTATTTTCTTTTAGAATTAAAGGATAGCAGGACCATCAATCTGATGCTTGAATTTCTTCAGTGCATTCCACTACAACATCAAGTATCAACAACAACCTACTAAACATTACAAAAAGATCTGCTTTGATATCGATGTGGTTTGTCATGACTTCATTCCCCAATATAATCGCCTTTAAGAGAGGTGATTATGAGTAGTCTTGGTAACAGATTAGTCTCCATACGAGCTGGTCGATAGAAACCTCTCCCTAGTCCCCCGTTTCCTATCTGATAGAAACCTCTCCCTAGTCCCCTGTTTCCTGTCTCACCCCATAACTCCCTTTCTTTCTTTCTTTCTTTCTTTCTTTCTTTCTTTCTTTCTTTCTTTCTTTCTTTCTTTCTTCTTCTCTCCCCTCTTCACATGAAAGGAAATTCAGGTTATAGTAAGTTTATGAATGTTTTCATTTTATCCTTCTGTTTGTAAAAATTCTTAAGCACTCCAGATTTCCAAATACTAGAAGACAGCACCATATTCACCCTAGAGTCACTCCTTCCCTCAAAACTACCTGCTGTCATTCTAAAAGTGCCTCATACCAAGATTAGCAAGTACAGTAATGAAGGAAGCTACTTTCTTAGACCACTATCTAGTTTAGAATGGTCACTATCGTGGTTCAAATAAAAATGACTCCCATAGGTTCATATATTTTAATGCTTAGTTACCAGGGAGTGGAACTCTTTGAAAGGATTAGGAGGTGTGGCCTTATTGGAGCAGGTATATTACTGGGCTTTGAGGTTTTCAAAAACCCAAGACAGGCCCAGTTACCCCTCACACACACACAGAGATCAGGACTCAAATTACTTCTCCAGCACCCTGACTGCACACCTCTAAAGTTTATGGAAGAAAATATTGAAGACAGAACCATACACATTATATGAGGAGCATCAAGAAACTCTACTTTGTAAGAAACTATGTAAAAGCAACCAGTGAAACAATTTAAAAGCAATCAGAATTTTTATGTTTTTGGTCATACACTAAAGGTTAAAGAAAACAATCTCCCAATCTTAGAAGACGGTTTTGATCAAATGCACTAGTTAGCATATTTTTTACTGAAGTGTCAATGACAGGAGAAACAGTTTTGTATGTACTGAAAGTACAGATCATATTTTGGTCATGTGAAGTTTCTTTCATCAAACTCACTTTTAAATGGGTAAGCCTGGTATAAGAGGCTTTGAAAGTCACTGGCATAAAAGATAACAGCATCTAAAACCACAGAACTGGTGCAGATTCCTTGTGCAGGCAAAATGGCTAGAGGAAAAAGGCAAGTACAACAGCAGCATCCACAAAAGGAAGCTGAGAATAGGATCTCTGGTGTCAAGAAGGAAAGCATGGTAGTAATCACAGAAATCAAAACAAAGACGCTTCTTAATAGGAAGGCAGTCCCAAGTAAGTAAGTTGTTGACGAGGTAGAGATCACACGTTGGTATTTAATTGTATAAAATGGTTTGCTACTGAAGTTTCTCAGCAAATGATGGGGACAGAAACACAAGGAGGTTGACAGGCAATGAATGATAAAGACAGAAAATGCAGACAAGTTTCATATTTAAAGGAGAAGACATCTAAATTAGACCATTGTTAGCAACATCACAATGATGGAGAGAGTAGACAGCCAAAAAGTCAAAAGGAGAACGAGATTCAAGCACCAGGAAGATTTTGTCTTCCACAGGAGGGAGGAGCCAGCTTCCACATGAAACAAACACAAGAGCTGACCCGAGGATGGAAACAAGAGGGGATCCATGTTCCAGCTTTCTCAGTTGTACCTTACACTTAAATAGAAAGTGAGGTTATCAGCAAAGCCTGAAGAAGGAGAGTATGGATCTGAGAAAAGGAAAGTAAAACAGTTATTTTGAAAAGCAAAAAGCAGTTTATTAGGAGTATTTAGCAGGACTACTTAATTTTGTTTAATTCCTATTAGAGGTCTGTGGTTTTGAATGCAATGTAAGACAGTTCCCACAGGTGTGCATTCTTCAGCGCTGAGCTGCCCAGGCTTGTTTAATCTAGAGCTGGGGCTTGTCAAAGAGCAAAAGGGAAGTGGTCACACTGTCAGAAGGACATGAGCCCTGGCATGGCCATGGTGACAATGAACGAGTGACACAGCAACGGCAGGCTCCAGGAAGGCGGAGAACGAGCACAGCACAATGGAGCTCTGGCCAAGCTACTAGGGCTGGCACAATGGCTTCTAACGTTTGTCTGGGGCCACATTATCTGATATGCCCAATTTTCTCTCTTACTCTCATGTGGTTAAGATTTGTTCTATGCTTACAACTCCCAACTTTCTCTCTGACTCCAGTAAGAGACAGAGTTTAGACTTCTAAGATAAACCTGGGGCCAACTCCTAATATCCCAAATTTTAACTTCAAATAAATCCTTTGGTTACTGTAGACTTAGTTTTTATCTCTGAAAATTATGGCTAAACCTAGCATCCTTTCATTTATGTGTTACTTTAAGTTAAATAATATATGCTAGCAAATTCACATAACTTCCCCTGCACTCACATGGATACTCGCATGCGTGCATGTGCACACGCGCGCATGCATACACACACACACACAACCCAGTACTGCATACCCAAGGAACTAAATGCATAAAGAGAAGTTAGAGATGCCACGGGAAGGAAAACATGTAGATGAGTGAAGCCAGCTCCAGCTCCATGAGCATGAGGACTGCCCCCAGCTGTCTACTAGAAAAGGGCTTCCCAACCCCTTGGGTTATCAAATTCCAGTGTGTCCAGAATGCCAGGTGTGGAGTACCAGGCTCTATCTAATGTTTGTTTTGTTGGGTTAATTCTTGCCTAAGTCTTGCCTTAATTCTTCTGTATTCCTATTCCTCCCTTTGGGAAAAGAAATGTTTATGGCACACCACTGCACTTTGGAATTATGTAACTTGGGTTTCGGTTCTTTTCTTCAGTGTCTCACACTATGAACTTCTCTAACGATTCTCTAGGTTTCCTGTAAAAATATATAAACTAAAATAAGTATTTCCTGCTTCTGATGAAATTCACAGTGTGGGAAGGTTTCTCACAAAAGAGTAATAGCACACTCTTTTGTTCCCCTCTAACACTCTCTGTTCTGCTTTGTGCCCTTCTCAGAAAACTGCTTATATTCCACTTTCCCGATTAGATTCAGTCTCAGTGGGGGACATGGCAGTGTCCTGCTCTTTGTATCGACTTACAGCACTTGGCACATTGCTTTGAAGATGGTAGGATTAATAAAAGTAAATATTGATGCAGAAAATCCAAAAGTGAGATAATGTTGCACAAATTGTCTTCTGAAGCAAAAGATTTATGGTCAAACAGTAAGGAAAAAGTCTAACCTCACCATTCAGTGTACCAGATGATAAGAAAAGAACAGCTACAGGCAGACTACTTTGCTCTGGCTGCTTGGGGCCATCAACAATGCCCCACAGTAGAATCATTTGTACTGTTGGAACCTTCTCTTATTGTCACTGTGCTGGGCTTCTAGAAGTTGACTAATCCATTTCTGGGCAGGCTACTTATAAGATAATTATCTCTAGATGGCAATATAACTTTACCTTAAGGTTCTCCAGAAACTGCCTACTTGTGACACCAAGAAGGAAAACCAGTGCCAGAATAGACTCTATTCTAAAAAGAACAAAAGAGCTTCAGACGTGCACAAAAGTGATGAAACAACGGCAGACCGTAAGAAACGAATGAGCAACGCACAGAAAAGAAGTAAGGCCAACTTAATACAGCTTCCCCCATGGGGATCCGCAGCAAGGGGAGAGGAAGCAGCAATCTTATCTAAAAGGTAAGCTAGAGACTGCCAGCTACCCTGTAAAGCTAAGTGTGGTTGGCAGACCCTCTTAATTTCACAGTCCATCAGCTGGGCAGGTCCTCCCATTTCCTCAGATTATATGCCCTTCTCTGTGGGCAATGTTCAATCTGAGGGAAGTAAGGGAGCAACCATGACACTCTATTGGCAAAGGATTTGTACTTTCCAAGTCCCCTAAGTACTGAACTTCCTGCTGGAAGGATGTGGATGTCTGGAGTTTTTGGCTGGAACATCAAAGCTTTCTGAATCTACAGAAGTGAAAGGCAAACAGGTGGATCCAAGTTTGTAGGTATTAAACTCCAAAATTATTCTCAGTTGGAAGAAACTGCTCTACAACAAAGGGTAATAATTGGTCAAGAAAAAGTAACAATTTTAAATATATGCGCACTAGATTAAAGGCACTTCAGAGTTAAACTATATCATCAGTCAAACAGAATTAACAAATATCTAGAGAATACTCTATCTAACAGAAACGGTATACACATCTTCTCCACAGTTCATGTAACCATCCCTAAAATAGATGACATTCTAGGTCACAGCACAAACCTTAAACATGAAAGAACAGAAATAATCTTGTAGATATCATCAGGCAACAGTAAGCTAAAATGAAGACAAGAGAAGCAACAGAAACTACACAAACACTTGAAGATTGAACAATACATTCTTGATGACCAGTGGGTCGTTGAAAAATCAAAAAAAAACTATTTTAAAAAAGTCCTAGAAGAAATGAAAGTTAAAAACATAATTTCCTAGAACTTTGTGATACAATTAAGTCACTCCTAGGACATCCGTGTAAATACTATATAGTATAGAGTAGAAAAATATACTATATGTTAGAAAAAGATATCTTACATAAATAACATACCGATGCA